CAAAAGGCACGCATGCCTCAGAGACGGGCTGAGGGCCCATTTACAGTAGCAACCATTTTTCAACAATTTTGCATAAATTTTCAAAAAAGACGTTTTCACAACCAATAATCAAGCGCTGAGCCACGTTGATTGCCAACTAGTCAGCAGCCCGGACTCCGGAGCCAGCGAACGAAACGAGTTGAAAAGCGATTTCGAGAAAGAAAAAGATTTAATGAAGTTTAGCACGATCATTCCCCTAAGAGATGCCAAGATGCCAAGAAGCCCAAGATGAACGTAAAGTTCTCTAATTGGATGCATTGAACGCAAAGAGAGAGAGATCCTTTCTATGGGCCACAGCTCGATGATATATGTGTGTAGGCTGCAGCATGAGGAACAAGGAAGCGAATGCGGTGGCGGTGGCGGTGGCAGTTGTTCGGCCCCCACAGATAAATGCTCAAAAACTGTGGAATAATGAGATAAACGCGAAAAATTAGCGATCGAAATGGCTGTTCAGCACGGTTTTTGGATCTGGGTTCGAGTTTAGTTTGGCTTTTGCCAGGTCTTAATCCAATCACGCAGTTGCATTTACTTGCAGCAACAACAACAACAACAACAACATGTTGTTAGCCTAATTATACAGTGATCTGTTGTTGCTGCTATTTTGCATATTTTGCAATTGTTATTGTAATTGGCCATCATGGCTGCCGCCGCAGAGAATGTATGCCGTACGTATAAGTGAGTGTGTATATGTGTGTGTGTGTGTGCATGTGCGCTCTAATGAAGGCCCTGTACACGTCCATTTTGACCAACTCCTCTCGTAAACGAAAACGTTTTAAGGCTTTTCATAAGCACTTTTTGCCGTTTTGCCCTCTATGGCCTTTTAATGATGTAGCCAACAATCCAATTTTCGCAGCGCATCCCGTTGCAAAACAAGAAAACAACAAAAAAAACCACCGACAAAGCTTAACGCTCGGTCAATGACAATTTGGAGCCCTACCATGAGCGATACGACGGCGGCTTTAACATTTCCGGCTTAAATGGTGCGCGTGGTAGTGAGGGAAAGGGAGAAGGAGGCTACGAGAGAGAGAGAGAGAGATATAGATCAGTGATACGTTTTGGGTTGAGACAGGGATCAGCTGGTAGTTTTCGGTATAGTTAAAGATCGGGTTGTTAAAGGGAACATAACTAGGTAAATGCAATAGTAAGTTGCTCTTCATTAAACTAGTATAAGTCATAGCTAATGCATTGTCTGTAGATCACAATACATTAACGAATAGATCGAATGGTAATTCCCATGAGGAGAGACACCTCAGCATTCAGAATAAAATCATATTTCAATTTACCAAATTTCACCATTCGTATATTAAGCTTTTGTTATTGATTAACAGAAATTAATTTGACCATATTAACTAAAATATATTATAAAGCGTGTCCACATTCCAAGTATTGAGTCTTGTCCTTCTTTATGTTGAAGAACTAAAAGGTTGATTAAAATATTCATTAAATAAAGTTATTTCCCTAAACGTTAAGCAAAGAAACAGTTAGTTGTTCAAATGGAGCTGATTATAGATCTTATCTGTAGTTCAAAACAAAAAGAACTGACAGGTGTGATAATATCCATTAAATTCATCTTATTTTAAGCTTTAGGCAAACAAATATTTATTTGTTAGAAAAGTTGATTTTCTTTTTTTGATTGAGCAAGCAATGTTGTGTTTTAAATGAATTTATTTTCTTATACCTTAAGCCCAGAACAGATAGATTAGATAAATGGAGATAATTCTAGTACTTATCTGTGTTTTAACACGAAAAGAACTAACATTTGTAATAATTATATTCATCAAATTAAGTTAGGCTTTAATCAAAAGAATAGATAATTTTTCAAATGAAGCTGCTTTTAGTTCTTACCACTATATTATGCCGATAATAAAAACCATAAAAGTGTTTTTTTTTTCTTAATATTTAAACAACGAAATAGTTAGTTGATCGATTTTATTATTAATTATTATTATTTTTTTTCTTAATCTTTAAACAAAGAAATAGCTAGTTGATCGACAAATAGAGTTGATTCCCATATTGAGGAATAGAGATATTTCTTTAAACTTAACTATCAAAATGTGTGATAATTATATCCATTAAATCAAGGCTTTTCTTAAACCTTAAGCAAAGAAATATTTTTTGTACTTGTCTGTATTTTAATACGAAAGGAACTGAAAGATGTGATAAAATTATCCATCAAATTAGTTTGTTTTTTTGAACTTAAATTCCTGTATTTCTTTATATTAAAAAATCAATATCTGTGATTATAATATCCATTTAAATTTTGTATTTTTCTTAGGCCCCTAACCAACGAACTGGTTGTTCGACACATGAAGCTAAGCCTAGTATTTACTAAGTCAATTTTAACTCCCAATTTAAAACTGTAAAATACTTCAATATTAGTATATCTTAAGGTTAGGGTAACGTCTGTATAGGCAATAAATGATATCCATGACAGTCGGGTTTATTTATTTAACTATAACTAACTATATTCTAATGGAAACGCGTTGATCTCGGAGCTACCTTGGGCTAGATATAAATATAGTATATCTCCAGTACATACATATCTTTCACTTGATTTTGGGTAGGTCAGTTAACAAATTCTTCCTGCTGCAGGAACTAGTCTTAGACACGTGTTGCCGTGCGTTTCCTGCCGTACCTTGCCCTGTTTCTCGGCTTACCGTCTACGTCTATATATATGTATGTATGTATATGTGACTTCGTGTATTTGTGTGTGTGTGCGTGCACTTAGTTGTTATCTTGTCGCTGCTGCATAAATCAAATAAATTTGTTAAATTATAACAATTTGAATTTTAATAATCCCAACTCTAGAATATGTGCAGTGGTCTTTCGGTTGTTATTTTGTTTCGTTTTTTTACATTTTTTTTTTTGATATATGTTTTTTTGTATTCATATTTTTTTTCTCAACTTGCGCACACTTAAAAATGAATTTAAATAAATTTCACGCTTGGTTAAGCCAAAGCGAAAGCAAGAGACACACTCACACTCACACACACACACATAGAAAGAGAGAGACAATTATAATAATAATCATTTACATTTGACATTGGCTGACTGAGTGGCAGCGACAGCGACTGCGACGCCAACGTCGACGTCGACTGCACGATAATTTATCATTTAATTTTGCATTCTCAACGCGCTCGTGAGAAAAATTAGATAGCTTGCCTATTGCTAATGAGGATAATGCGGCTAAGGACACGGACTCAACTCACTGACTGATGTCCTTTTTTTTTTGTGGTGGGGCATTTGCATAAAAAACGCATAAAGTGCAGCCGCAATGCGACAATTTACAATTGACAATTGCAATTGGACTTGGCTAATTGAGCGCTCAAGTGGAAGAAGTGGAAGCGAGGACTCGCTCGGCTTCTCGCATTCCCGCTAACCCGTTTCTCATTTCTCATTTTCTCAGTTTGAGTCCACACGCGTGCTATTTGTTGGCAATTAATGGAAAAACCAACAACAACAACAACAACAGCAGCAGCAACAATGAGCACATTGACAATTGTTGCATTAGCGTTAATTTATGTGCAGCCAGTCGCTGTCTCTAGCTCTAAACCCAACTCAATCTCTCTCTCTCTCTCTCTCTCTCCCTCTCCCTCTCCCTCTCTCGCCCTCGCACTGTGTCTCTATCTAAATAATTGCGTCGCGGGTGTCTCATTAAAATAGTTTTTTTTTCTCTCTGTTGTTTGGCTTGTTATATATTGTTATATTGTTGTTGTGGGGTCTATTATTGCGTCTAAACTTTTATCGCTTTTTGGCATCTAACTTTAGCCAACTCAAACCAACAAACGAACAGCTGGAACAATGCGACCGACGGCAACAACTGAGTAGCATAATTATAATTATATCAAATTTTGCTACCATTTAAAACGCATTAAACGCGCCGCAGACAAATTCAAGACCCAACAAAAAAAAAAAAAAACAAAATATAAAAAGAAAAGAAACAAAAACAAAGCCAAACTCTAAATACAAAAATCTCAGATCTCAAGGAGAAAAAGAGTAAAAGAGACAAAATGCTGACCAAGAATAATTACGTGAAATTGTTGCTGCTTTTGTTCAATTATTTATAGGCTAGTTTATTAAAGAGCCCGAGAAATGAAAAGTGACCGAACTTTGTTGAGGGCCATTCATAAGAGCTCTTAATGGGCACAGGCAATGGGGCAATCGTTCGGGAAAAGCTGTAAAAGTGAGGTTTATAATCACATACAAGAAAAATAGAGAACTAGCGGAAGTTGGATTTGAAGGCTCTTAGTATCTAATATATCTCTATAACTGATTGACTGACTGACTGACTGACTGACTGACTGTAAGAACCAAGAATCTACAAGTGGACGCCAAGATGGGGTTATGGTAAATGGCGTCCGAAGAAACTTGTTTGATTACCATCCTTGAATTGAAATATAATTTTTAAATATCTTGCTCAAAATTCATTGCATACGTGTTTCGCATTTTTCGCAAAATACACAGGCGGAAAATGCATGAAAATGTGTTTTTTTCGGGCTTAGCAAGGCCAGGTAATTCCTGCAATGCATGTTCTCTTGTACCAAGCGAATAAAACTGCCTAGTGCGGTACAAATTAATGAAAGGAAAACGTTATTTCAAGTAGCACCCTTCTATGTGATTCTCATCAATTCAAGTAACGCCTACAGGCTTACATCTTCTGTGTGTGTGACAATCTAAAATTTATCTCTGCACATACACTCCTCATTTTTACTCTCGATCTTTCTCTCTCTCCTGAACAATAAAAAATTCTTGCATGTAAATTTATTATTTGTAATACAAATTTTGTATATAAATAAGATGATATGTTAAGTGAATTCAGGCTTGAGCACAGGGTATTTCCCAGTTAGGTCCTAAATTTCTAGTATAACTAATCATTTTAAAGATTAAATGCAGTAAATACTATTTTTTATTATTTCAGGGTTTTCAATTCCAGATACTCTCTATTCTCCAAAGCAATTTACGCTGTATGTCATGTCCTTCACTAGAATAAAATGTTTGACTATATATTCGATTACTTCCTCTATTCAGAGTTGAGCTTTCAGCATATAGTTTCCAGTTAATCCGGGTAAGTACTGATTCAAGCTCTTCAAATTAGACGATTCTATGAATGAATCGGCTTTCGGCTTAGCAGTAAGATTTGCCGAGTATGGCTTGAACTTTTGGTGATTTTTTTCCACGAAAAGGAGTTCCTTTGATGATGGGTTAGAAATTTTCTTGATTTTTTCAATCTATATAAGTATTTGAAATATATAATTTTAGCGGGATGGTATGGAGTGTCGAGCAACGACGCTTAAAATAGCATTATAACAATTATGAGATTCTATTTATGAGTATGATTGTATATGTCTGTGTGTCGAGAGGTAATTGCGTCAAAAGTGCTGACAGACGCAACAACACGACAACAAAAACAACGAACAACTACAACAGCAAAAACTGAGTCGAAAGCCAGTGACAGTGACTGTGACAGTGACAGGAAGGTGTACGTGAGCGGGAAGCCATGTGGATGATGATGATGGTTCTGATGATGATGACAGCACTTTGTTGACAAAACAGCCAAAACAGTTAAATGCATTTTAGTTTATATTTTAACAGTTGGTTAAGTTTTGTTTAGTGATTTTAATAATTGCGCGATACGAGCGTCAACGTTGACGTTCACGTCAACCGCGAATGCAACTGCGGCGCGGCCTGCCGCATGACACGCAAACTGGGTTACCAAAGTCGGGGGCTTCAGAGTTTCCTATATAAATGGATGTATGTTGAAGTGGTTGTGGAAAAGGAAGTGGACGTGAAACTGGCAGCGAACGGCGCAAGGAACTGCAATTCGCGCGACAGGAACAATTAAACGAGCGACGAAGCGCAACGTTTACATACCCTGCCCACCCCTTTTAACCTCTACAACCAGCTGACAGTCGCCCAAATTCTGTCTGCCCTTTCTCAGCATTTCGCTCTATATGTAAATGTTGTGCCGTCGCAGTGGAATTGTCTCATTTGTCAGGCGCGCAGGCGCTGTTCAAGACGATTTCTCGCACTCGCCAAAATGAATTTAAATATTTTAATCGCATTGCTTAACAGGGCAGCCAGAACAACAGCAACAAGATAGTAAAATGAATTTGCTCAACACCGAAGCTACGATGCTCTTGCTTTAGAAATATCATTTGCATATCAATCTATCTTCACAGATAGATAGCATATAAAGATAGATATCTATAAAGAAGTACATTTTTTTTTCTACATTTTCTTTGCTCTTTTTCAAATTTACTGATATTTTGAAAACAACTTTAATTAAACTTATGTGAAAATTTGCAATACTAATTATTCTACTCTTAAGTCTAACATTAAAATTAACAAGGGTAGGGTGATTTTATAAACCGATCTGTGAGATCGATTGGATGAAAGTAAATGATAGATTTACCTGACAAATTCTCGAAAATTCGCACAGACTTATTAATGAAATGGAAGGACTGGTTAATAAGAATCTCATATTTCAAGGTTGAATCAGAATGATTTCTGATTTCTGAGCAGTTGCTATAGATTCAAGTTGGTTACAAATGGAACCATCTACAGCTGGCACAATAATTACTTATTAATATATATATAATTACTTATTAATATATACTATATAAAGATAATGTTTATGCCTTAAGGCAGTTGGCAGTTCCTGCGCAGACTCAACTCGGAATACTAGAGTATTTGCAGCGCAGACTAGTTATATCCAATGAGAAAGGCTTTGCAACTGCGAATACTAGAGTATTTGAAGCTCACAGTCGGTTTCAGTCTTTTGGCAAATCCCTAAATGGCTTGCATTTTTGTGTACAGCACTTTGGACCTGTCCCGCCGCGAACTGGACGACCGATAAGCATCGCTTCCGGTCTCTGGGCTGGCGTTGTTGTTGGTGTCGCTGCGGTTAGTGGTGTGTATCAAATGGGGTCTGTGGCACCTCGCCGCCCCTGGCTTGGGCCATAAAAATGCGTCTATCTCCTTTGTTCTGTTTGCTGTTCAGAGATAGAAAAACGCGATACTAATTTTTGGTACCTACTACACTTAATTTCACTATTTCGTTACCTAAATATGCATCTATGTGTATGCGTGCGTGTGTGTGTGAGTGTGTGTGTGTGTGCCTCGTGCATTTTAAATGGAAATCTGTAAATTTGTTTTTATTGTCATTATAATTTTGTTACCCGTGTTGCTGTTGTTATTGTGTTGTAGCTGGTTCTACTTGGCTGATAGCGTTTAGCACCTGACATTTTTAGTGGCAATTATAACAGCGAGCAGCAAAGAGTCAACGAACCTCGGCCCACAGCCAGACCAAATGCTCAGTGGCAACGGGGCTGCGTGGCTGCGGGGCAACGAGGCAAGGAGGGGACCAGAGCCGGGAGACTGTCGGAGATCGTCAGTCAGTCTGCTAACGGTTCTTGTGTGTTTCATTAGAGGGCCATTAAATAAATGCAGAGTTTAAACTATCGCATACTTAAAAAACTACAACAAAAATGGGTTTACTTAGTCAGTCAGTTAGTTAGTCCAACTAGAGCCACAAAACGAAACGAAACGTCATGTTGCATGTTGTCATGAGTCATAAAGCAGAGTTGCATGTGCAGCTCTCAGGCCAGGCCACAGCAACAACAACAGCAACAACAGCAGCAACAACAATAACAACAAATGCAACACGGCAGCAAAGTTTTATTGAAAGTCGCAGTCGCAAAGAGCTCAGCTTAAAATTAAATTAGAAAATAAAAATGCAAACACTAAAACAAAAAAAAAGGAAAAAAAAAAAAACTAAGTAAAAGAGAAGGAAGTGAAAATTTGTGTTCCGATAAAGAAAAGCGACAGACGAGTGCTCTATAAAAAAGCAGTATGCTCTATAAATATATATATATATATATATATATATATATATATATATATGTATATCTATATATTTATAATTTATATATTTTCAATCATTTTATATAGAACCAAAGTCCACTTATATGTCGTGGTTAAAAGAAACCGAATGCAGTTTTTTATTTATATTATTTATTTATAAATTAAATATTAAATTCTCTAGAAGTAGATGCGACTAAGAACTTGTTAATTGACAAAAAAACAAACCATTTTTACCTATTTAAATTAGCTGAGTATTTTATCAGTTAGAGTTCAGCTTGAAATTCATCAATTTTTAACTACATTTTTTTATGGCACTACAATGTGAATACAAGACACATGAAATCAGACGTTAACATTCTAAAAATTATTTCTAAAATGAACCTTTTTTTATGAAGGCCAAAATTTAAGTAAAAGTTTGATAATAACATTATATAGTTTAAAAAAAAAGTTTAAAAGAAATATTTTTAAAAATATATGAAAAATGTCAAGGAATTTGAAATTTTAAGTAAGTTTCAAGGGCCTTAAAATAATTTTAGTTGGCAATTTCTTAACTAATTCTCTTCCCCGATATATTCATTTTATTATGGGACATCAAAAAACAAATATTATAATCACGACACATAAAATCAAAAGCTGACATTTAAACATTCAAGCAATTATTACTTAAAAGTACTTTCTTTTACCAAACCTAAAATTTAAGGTAACAATTTTTAAAATACAATTCATACATTTTAAAAAATTGGTAAAAAACTAAGAGAAAAATTGTTAAATAAATGAAAAATGTCAGGAGCCCACAAATGAGTAAGTTTATACTTCCCTGACAAATTTCAAGCACTCCCAAAGAAAACGTAGAGTATATGTGGATTCGGCTCGCCTTGTTGTAGTTGCTATTAAAACGCGAGCTTCATTGCACCGTGCTTCCCTTTTACTTAGGCATTCCCAGCTGTGCGCCCCCTCGCCCACAAGGCTCGGCTCACGGTACTTCTATTACGTTTTTTGTAGCGCTTTTTTTTATACTACATACTATGATTACGTTTACGATTACATAAGAATATAATATCGCAATTAATCGCATTTAACACAAAAATGTTCGGACCGTTCAAGGCAGCCCCGAACTTTGCGTGTGGTTGTTGTTGTTGTTGTTGCCGTGCATTTCGATGGTTGTTGTTGTTGTTGTGGCTCCTATTGCTGGAGCAATCTCGACACGACATACAACAATTAAAAAAGTTTTTTTTTAATAATCGTGCCGTTTTTTCTTGAATTTAATTTGATTGCTTGTTGGGTTTTGCTGGCTCTGGTTGCCATTTTGAATTGGCATGTGAATTCGGTTACACTTCTCTCTCGCTCTCTCTCTCTCTCTTTCTCTCTCGCTCTCTCTCTCGCACTGACCAACTCAACCTTTCTTTTCTAATGGACTCAAATTTGGAAAAGTGGCTTGTTTAGGTCGTGGGTTTTCCATCTACTATCAACGGATCTGAACGCTTCTACGCGCTTTTTATGGCGATATTGTATTTTATTTGGTGTTTAGATTCAAAGATTTATGACTACAAATTATGGTACTTTATTGGGCGATAACATTTCCGTTCGTTCGCCCCGAGAGGCAACGAAATGCCGAAACTACTTAAACTCAACTTAATTTCTTGGCCAACGCCAAATGAAAATGAGACCAGCAATAAAAAATTAACAATTAATCTTGAATAAAACATCTAACGGCCACAGACGATAGAAACGACAGGGACCGTGTCTGTGGTCTCTGGTCTCTGGTCTCAGGTCTCCGATCTCAGATCTCCCATTCTCTAGTCTCTTTTTTTCTGTAGTTCGGGCTATTTCTTATTTCTTTAAAACCAATTGAGTGCCCATTATTAACGCCGAAGCGGGCGACTCATAAAAACTGAGAAATTTATTCTCACACCCAATTTGTGCTCGCCGCTAGATAAGGGGCCGCCCCTTGATGAGCTACGTTTCCCACTCCCTCCCTCTCTCTCTCTCTCTCTCTCTCTCGCTCTTTGGCCAACATGTCCATGGCCATGCCGCACACCCAGCCAAAAAAAAAAAAAACAAAAAAATGGCTCATTAACGCGCCGCGGAGGCCGCTGCAAAATACACACCTTATTTTGTCATTAATTTGCATATTGCAAGCAGCTTAGAGAACGAGCGAGAACGACGATGCCGCTGATGGGCAGAGACGGGATCCACCCCCAC